AACAACAACTGTGGGCAACAGATATACTTTCACACTCAACTGACAGGTTAGAAAACTAAGGCATTGAAAGACTAAGTAACTTTTCCAAGGTCAAAGCATGGTAAGTGATAGAATGAGGATTTGAAATAAGACACTTTGGCCTTGGAGACTGCACTTTTATTCAAGATATTATTTTCCTTCCCTATATTATATAAAACCTCATTGAGTATAGCCATATGAGAGTTTTATTACTTTGCAAATCAGTTTACCAGGATAACTAATGTGAAATTAAATGCGTTAGGAAAGAATGTATTTATTTATGTTGACTACTACTAGATCATTAAGATCATTTCCAGATGTAGTTATTAGGCCTACAAATATACTTAATACAAACATATCACAAGGGTCTGGATACTACAAGAAAAGGGGGAAAAATCAACTTTTTATCATTATTAGCTAATTTAACCACACTTAAGAGAACCTAAAACATAACCCTTAGAGTAACTACTATTTGGCATATGGCTTATGTTTTTAGGATAAGTCGATTTCTTCTTGCCATGGTCCCAAGTAGACTGATTCTGCCTAGAAAAGTATAACTGGAGGCTATTATCTTATATCTCTTTATAAAAATAAAATTAAAAATTAAATGGATGTTTGTGTATTTACCTATCAACCAATATCATTTTTGAATGATTTTGAATGGATTTTTCATTTAAAACATTTTTGAGCTGAAACCGGTTTGGCTCAGTGGATAGAGCATCAGCCTGAGAACTGAAAGGTCCCAGGTTCGATTCCGGTCAAGGGCATGTACCTGGGTTGCGGGCACATCCCCAGGAGGAGATGTGTAGGAGGCAGCTGACCAATGTTTCTCTCTCATCGATGTTTCTAACTCTCTATCTCTCTCCCTTTCTCTCTGTAAAAAATCAATAAAATATATTAAAAAAACATTTTTGAAAAAGAGATACTTTTCTATAGCCTTAACTATACAGATACCATGGTCAATGTGATAAAACGTCAATGTTAGCCAAACAATGTTTAAATTATTATGGATCTAGTTAACGGTGAAATTAACAGAATAAGAAAAATACATAAATAAATTCAAATAGAAAGCACTGTCAAACAAAATAGGAAAATATTAGTATATTTATAATTGACTCAGAGCTACAGATTTGCTTAACCATATGTACACTATACATTCAACTGTTACTGCTTCACACCTCTTCTTTGCCTTGGCAAAGCTTCCTATTCATGCCCAGTAAAAATAGGGGCCAATCTAGAAACCGACACGCCTAAAATTTCAGCAACAGGATCTGTTTTCTAGAACACACTGGAGCTGCACACCAGCTGTCATGAGCACTGGTACACTGTTCCTGTTGGCTTTAAAAATATGTCACAATGTGTCTTCACAGAAACATATGCAACTCATTAATCCTAGCAAATAACATTTCTTAAACAGTACTTACCAAACCATTTTTGCTTTACTGAAAAATACACAGAGACTCTTTCTTGGATCCTAACCTCTCTGTGTCTAAACACAGCACCACCA